TACAGTTTTATATCTGGTAATTATTATGTTTCCTGCAGGATTCAGGGGACAATCATAAGGCATTTTGGGGGTCAGGCAAAGAGTATGGGTCAGAATAGATGGTGCTACTACATATATCAAAATCTCCTGTAAGATTATCAGAGTATCACTATTTCTAATTCATGTATATACTAATCAAATGAAAATAGCAGTTAGAGGTAAGCAGCTCTGTAGCATCTTCACATTATAAGGTAATTTCAGAATAAAGATTTCTGGAAAAGGTGGAAATCATGCAGAATCTTTAGTAAGAACTAGCTGTTAACAACCTGAGTCTCCAAAAAGGCCGTTCCACTTCCAACAACATTTAAACATCTACAGTGAGAGTAGAAGACTCAATTTATCCAGAAGCCTCACTTGCCTCAGTGGAGTTTCCTTCACCTGGGAAACAACAGGTAGGGAAGTGTTTACCACTCTCTTAAAGAAAGTGATACACCTAAGTAACAATACATAGATTGCAGAAATATGCAATGTAAAACATCTATATACTAAGAGAGACAGAAAGCATTTCTTTTTAAAAGATGTTAAAAGATATTTATTTGGCTGTAGTGCAAAATCAACAGCGCTGGTGACTCCAGAGACAGAAAGCATTTCTTTTAAAAGATGTTAAAAGATATTTATTTGACTGTAGTGCAAAATCAACAGCGCTGGTGACTCACCTTCAACTCTGTGCAAAAAAGAGGAAGAACAGAAGTGTCTCTAAGATCTAAAATGCTAATTTAGCCTGTGATCCTTTTCATCTAAGGATACTTTTTTTGATATTGATGTTCCAATTGCCTTTGAGTACAAATTAGTGTAATTTTTGCCTTGTATCCCACAAACTGGGATATGAATTTCCCTCATTAATTACCAACACACTAGACAATGTAGAGTAAGGACACGTTCTGTACTTCAGCTAGCACAAAACCATTTTAAACAATACAGAAGTCACTGCTTATAGTGACATTTGTAAGTCTACAGTGCACACCAGTGGACTATAGCAGTATATGCATTTTTTCACTGTTTTCAGTATAATGTAAAATCGCTTTGTAAATATGCCATCTTATTTAACTTTTAAAGCACCAGAAAAGCATGTCCTTCAGAAATGATAGACAGATATGAAATGTTGAAGAAGACTTGCAAAAATATAAACAAGAATATTTTATTGTGCCTGTTATAAGATTAAATGAGCATTCTAAAACCTAAAACTTTAACAGTCTTGCTGATTATAATTCTGTGCTTACAAAATTTTTATAACAGAAAAAGAAATGATCAATTTCAGGACTAAACACAACTTCATATTGCATCTGTTAAAATGGTCTAATTTACGACACCAAACAGGACAAGTTCAATGACAGTGTCACATGAAGCTAGATATAATGCTTGTAGTTACTACAAACATAAATGGCCTCTTTACTACTTTTTTTTAGTTAACTCAATACATTGAAAACTTATTTACAATTTCCAAGTTGATGCAGGATGCATCATTTTTTAAAAAGATGATTATTGAGATCACCTAGGCTTTCCCTATTTAGTTTATTCTAAGGTGAGTGAATACTCATGTTTTAACAGAAAGTAATTAGTTATTCAAATCTTGACATTTGTGATGCTTCTAACATTACACAAAATCTCTCAAACTTTCAAAAGGTTAGCAGAGCTAACTATTCCTAAAAAAGCTTTAATTTGCAGTGGCACTGTGACTTGCAAATCAAGCATTTTTTTTCCACATTCTCAGCGGGGCTGTCATGTGATCTACCAAAGGAAATAGCAGATTAATTTAAGCATGACTAAAACCAAAAACTCTTAGTCAAGGACATGAAAATAATCCAGAGAGAATGATTAATCTGTTATTAATCTAGAAATTCCTTTGTGATTTAATATTGCAAGTGTGTATACAAATCAGATTCCATGCTTAATGTAGTACATGTCTGCATTTTCCTTTATTTCACTTTCAAATTTTTCACTGTCAAAAACCTTGTATGGTGTTCCAGGATCTATTTCTTAACAGTAATGTATAGTAAGTGACATTCACACACACATGGCCAGTACACAAGATTTAAGGGGTTTTTTTTATAAAAGAAGAATTTTCACGTGTAAAAAACCCAACAAATGTAAGTAATTTCATTCACATTAGTTAGATTAATCAAGACCAATGTTTTCCTGTAATTTAAAAACTAGATGTATGTCTTACAAATCTCCGAAGACAAGCAGAATGCTCAAAATAACACCTCCTGTTAGCAATTAAAGCAATTCAGCATGTTCCCAAGAATAAAGCAGCAACACATATATGTGTATATGCATGCACATCTATAAAAATTGGAATCTGTCAATCTCCAACCAATTCTCAGCAAGTCTGTCCTTCTTGTTCTATTCTTCTGACAGTGCCATAAAACATAAAGACTATATTTCTTAAGCAAAACAATTAACTAAATCTAGACTTCCTCTGTTGTGCAGACACATGACAAGCTAAAATCCTACTTAATGAGCAAGCAGAAAATAAAGAACTAAAATCTGAAGGAACTCAAATATGACAGATAGATGTTAATTTGTTGCTGTGGATGTTCATCTGTGAAGGAAATTCCATTTGCATATGTACCACCTTGTAACTAGAACTTGGAATTTAATAGACTGCTTGCAGCTTTTCCAAAATGTGAAAAGAAAGCTAATAAATTTTCCTGGATTATTCCAAATATGAGGTGTTAAATGTATAGGAAATTTTAAATTCTTTATCTATATTTAGTTATACAGATACACATTTTGAGTTTTGTTGGATCTAAGAGGTCCTCAACCCTTATTCTGGTTCTGAAAGCTAAATCCTGAAAGCCACAACACAAATATTTCTTATTCTTCGACTCATGAATTTGGATTGAAATGAACACTTCTTTCCTAACATAACCAGGCGATGTTGTTAAATTACTCCTTTGAAGGCTGATCTCCTCTATAAAATTAGATTGCTCTCTGGCATCAAAACTCCACCAAGAGCTACCTGCTAAACTAAATCGGTCTCCTGACACATCTACTTTTTTTCTTGAGTATTAGGACAAATCTTTGTTGCACTTGGAAGATCCTGCACTTCAAGATCTGCCAGCTTTGGTGAACTCCTTTCTTTACCAGTTAGAGCTGCCTCCCATGGAATCCTACCCAGCAGTTCCCTTACTAAGCCATAGTCCTGCTTTCCTTAGGTTCAGGATCTGTTGTCTACTGCTTGCCTTTCTCACTTCACTTAGGACTACAAACGTCACTATTTCAAAGTTAGTACAAAGAAATTACTCATCACATCCCCAACTAGTTTCCTTCATATTAGTCAACAGCAGATCCAGCTATGCATGGCCATTGGCTTGCCCTTTTAATACTCACAGCAAGAAATTGTTCCTGAAATCCTCCGTAAATCTCTTTGATTGCGGCAGCCATGTTGCCTTTCTAGCAGCTGTACAGTCAGTCCCCCATGAGAACCAGTGTCTACAATTCAAGAGACCTGAATTCTTTAAACGTTTTATTTGCTTCCTCATCAGATGGTCTGTAACAAATTCCCACCACAATGTCATCTTTACTGGCCTGTCCTCTGATCCTGAGCTACAAGTCTGACTATAACCCATATCGCAGGAGAGGTCAAAAGATCTGAGCTGCTTATAGAGCTGAGGGCAACTTCCATCCCCTCAGTCCTTTTTTGCAAGTCTTTCTTGAAGTCCTTCACAGCACTCCAGTTGCATGGTACAACTTGGTACAGTATCTTAATTACTCCAACATTATTGTAGTTCTATAACCACATACAGCTCTAATTCTTCCTGCTTGTTTCCCAGGGTGCATGCATTTCTGTACTAATACTTGAGGTAGGTGTCCCTTTACTTTTTTTTGTCATTCCTGAAGTCTTTCTTGCTCCTATCAACTTGCACCCTCAGCTTTCCACCCCTGACCACCACTTCTTCAATTTACTGTGGTCTTTAATCTCCCACCCCCACCATTCCTAGTTCAAACCTCTCCTTATTAGGCTGGCCAGATCGTTGGACCAAGGAGACAACACCTGGACCCCCGTGATCTCAACTCCAGAGCTATGTGGTCATTCCCAATATGCCCTCAGCTGGTGCCCATGCAGATGAGCAGCAGGGAACAGTAGTAGTCTAAGAACTGAACAGACCATGGCAATCTCTCTGCAATATTCTGGATCCAAGTCCACAGCGAGCCACATAACACTCAAAAAGGCAAGTAGGGGATACAGGGTTTTTTCTCCCCACAGGAGGGAATCTCCTACTGCTGTCACTCACTGCTCCCTCATGATGTTAATGCATGGCTCAGGTCAAAGCTGGCTCTGATGCTTCCTCAGTCATGGCTTTCTTCTACTCTGCTACCAGGCTTTTGAACCTATTTTGCAACTGCAGATCTGTATGTGGAAAAAGAGCCATTCTCCAGTTGCTGGAGATGGTAAGTTTCAAGCCTTCCTACTAGAGGACTCCATTTACCTCGCAACTGATCGCAGTCTCTGGCTGCCTCTCTACTTAGCTCTGGAGACCCTGTAAAGATCCCATTAATCTCCTTTTTGCCTTTCCTGAGCCTGACCAGCCTTCTCATTTCCTCCTGCAGCTCAAAAGGCACAACACATTTCCTCAACCAGTATTCACCTCTTGTAGACATGGACATCCCTTTGCCCTGTCCCAGCCTCAAGGGAATGTATCAGGCACTGCCTGCAGCCCAAGGCCTGGAGACTTGCATCATCCCTCAGCATCTCTGATTCAAGGTCTCTACTGTGCCAGCAGCAGCAGCCGCAGCTTGCGCTTGTCCTGGGGACCGTGCCCCATGGTGTGCCACTGCTGTTGCTGATTTGTCTTATGCTGCCATCAGCGCGTTTCCAGCCCCCTTCCCACATGCAAGCCAATGCTCCCCATGGACAGCCTGGGACATGTGCGCTGGGCACAGCAGTTACACAGCTCTCCTCCAGTGCCACCTGAATGGGCACTCAGCTCCCCCTAACCAGGAGTCACCTCTCTTGGCTACAGCCTAGATCTCCCAGTCCCCCATGACCCCTGAGAACGCTGCCATGCGCTGCGCTCACGGCTCTGCAGCTCCGTTGCCACCGTGGCAGCATGTGGTGGCTGAGTCGCGCTGGGGCTTCTCCACATGCGCTCGGCAGGTCCCTCCCCACAGCCTACACCGGTAAATACTTGGCAAATGGATGATTTATCATTTCTGTAAACTCTAGATATGATTTTACTCTTAGTTGCAACACAAGAAATTGAAAGTCTCAATTTTGATTCTTGCTCCATGTGATAACGATGTACTAACATACCTGTTTCAAGCTTTCCAGCTTTGTTTGTCTCAGTTCTTCATATTTCCGTTTCCAAAGAAATAATTCGTTTTCTATCTTTTCCATTTCTTTTTCCAGAAACACATTCATTCTGAAAAAGCGTTTTAAAAGTCAGCATTACATCTTTTTGAAGTTGACAACAGACAAATTACTTTGAATTTATTTTTCATAGCTTGAGTTATATTCTGCTGCCTTTGTCAACCATATACCTGGTGTCGATTGAAAACCTATATTATCATCATATAAGAGATTTACAAAAAATAGTAGCTAAACAGAACAAAGAAATCCAATAGTATAGAATTAAAATTTTAAATGAAATAAAATTTTGGAATAAACTGAAGAAAATTCAGAAATAGATTTCAGTTAGTGATTCAGGTTACCTAATCCCATGCGAGTTGGTGAAGACCCTCAAAGAAAAGGTACTGTATCAGCTTTATTTGGGCATAGCCGGAAGATTATTTTAAACACACGCATACAGGGGAATAGATACAATATGTAGATGTTATTGAAGTGAAAGATGATCTACTTTAGACGTAGAAAACATTAAAATATTTATATTTTGTGTTTCAAAAAATAATTGCTCTTGAAAGAAAATGCTAGAAGAATTTTAGGAAAATTGATTATTTAGCTCAGAAGTACTACACGGTCATAAAGCATTTGCCTCTGGAATGTTATTTGAGCATAAAATTCATCGCTACATTCAGGAAAATATTTAAGATACAGAATTCACAAATAATAAACAATGATTCCTTGGAGAAAGTTATTGTACTACTGAAACAATGAACTTTGATATTTACTTTTCCCCCCTCTTGTAACCAATTAAATTATTTTCAGTCCTTTGGGAAATAATGAAAGAAATATGACACAGCAGAGGTACTACAGATGTTCTTGTCTTTGAGACCAATTAAAAACTCATTTCTGTGTTCACAGGAAACACTATTAGCCAAGTTCCAAAGACAAGAATGAACTTATCATGATTTCATTTTATATTTGTGTAATGCATATCCATCGTTTTGCAATTTTGCAACAAAATAGAATTTGGAAAATAATTAAAAGTGAAAGAAAATAATTCTTAATTACAAATAAAAGCTTTCAAATTATGTTTCTAACATTTCTATGAAATTGAATCACAGTTTAAAATTCTGGAATATTCTGTTGGCTATAAACATCAATATAGGAATAAAGCTTATAAAGTCAGGGTGCTGAAGAAATACAAAATCTGAAAAACAGTAAAACTGCATAAGTATTATTATGTTGGGAGAAGAAAATTTTAAATTATATAAATTCTGTGAAAATGAAGGAATGAAGGGCTACTATACCAGAGAAGAGAAAAATAATGACATAGTTAGAAAAAAACTAATACTAGCAATTAAAGAGACTGCTGTATGCCACAGTAGTTATTTTCTATTCTGAAGCTAATGGGATTTGTCAATCTTTTTACTAAAGATATCATTGCCAGACTGATTGCAACTACATTCTGAGAATATTTGGTTTAAAGTTAATCTTCCACAGCAGCATTGTTAACTTTAAGGAATTAAAGCAAAGGGTATTGATGAGATTTGCCTGGGGCATTTCTATGCAGCGTACTGCAGGCTTGTGCCAAGATACCAAGATACTTTAGTGAAGTATTTTCTTGTTCTCTCTTCTTTTACAACTAAACCTGATGCTCTTGAACCAGGGATTTCCTATTTCTACCTAGATATAGCACATAGCACAGCTTACCCTAGTAAACACCTATGGCTCCCTTAACATTATAGCAATAAATTAAACACCATCACTCACACAGCAAAGTGGAGCAAGATGACTTCTGTCATAAATAAAGAACCTAAGACATGCATTTCAACTGAATAGTTTTTCTTCTAAAGCAATGGGATATCTCAGTGGAACGGTATCATGACTTCATTGAGGAGCCAAAAGAATTACTAAGAGGGAAGTTTAATACAGCAGAAAGTGAAAGCATGAAGGATGACAATTTGATACTTTGAACAATAGTCTGTTGACTGTACTGAATGCATTGAAAGTCCTTAATAATGGTCCGCTTGTTGCTTAGGACCATGTCCAGATGGCTTTTGAATGTCTCCAAAGATGCAGATTCAGCAACCTCTGTGGGCAATCTGTGCCAGTATTCAGTCACTCTCATGGAAAAAAAACGTTCCTTGATGCTCAGACAGAGCCTTCTGTGTCCATTGCCTGACTACTCATCCAGCCCTAAGCAATTTCTCTTTGATGTTACAAACTACCAGTGTAGTTGGTGGATTTTTGGTTTTAGACCAAAGAAACACTTTTAAGTTCAAAATAGAACAAATTAAGATCTTAAAAACATCCAAAAGATTACTAAAGATCGCTATTTTACACAAATGAATCTTTAAAGATCTGAATATCTCATAAGATCTTTAATTCCCATTCATGTCAATAGGACCTCAAATGTGTATTTAATATGATGCATAGTGCCTAGTAGAGGATTTTGGTGTGTGATTTGACATTGTAAACCCAACCCTGAAGTTCTTTGAAAGTCAAAACATAAACTTTGAGGTTTTTTGGTTTTGGTTGGAGTGGGTTTTTTTGTTTGTTTTTGTTTTTGGTTTTTTTTAAAGAGCTCCATTCTTTTTATATTTTGGAAAGCCTAATCCATGGCTAAGGGTATATTGGCATTACTGAAGATAGCTCTAAACAGAATATAAGAAGCACAGGTCCTCTGAGGGTGAAGACGCAAAACATCTTATGGAGAGATTAGTCAGGCAACTAGGGGCAAGTCCAAACACTGGATCTGCATGAGCTAACTTGACTGTGGAAAGAATGCAGCCACAGTTTGGGAGTACTGCACGTAAACCAGACAACTCTGCTGAGAAGTTCTGTGCTGTATGAGTAAGATCATGCTGACTGCCAAGGTAACCTTTAGCCTTGGGGTTCAAACTGTCTGTGATCCAAGCTTGCGTTTGACGCCACACAGCTGTGTGTCCTTGGCTCAAGTTTACTGAGAAAATTGCTAACTTGTGAGGAAGAAGCTGTGAGAAAGTACTTAAGCTAGAGCCACACAAGATAAGAAAAGTAAAAATGCAAATAGAGGTGAGATTGTTGAGATAGTCATTATTAGCAACTCCAGGATCCACAAGCAAAAATACTGACATGAACAAGTATAGAACCCTAAGAGGAAAAACTGGGAAACTGAAGATGGAAACTCAGCAAAATAAGCCCATTCCAGCAAGCAGTGCAGACCAACCCTTTCTGAGCTGGCAACAGCTAGCCTGTCCAACAAAAACTTATAGGGTGTCTCAAGAGACTGGTGACTATGTTAGTGCTTATCCTAGTAACATTTTTCCTAGCTATTTATTGTGTGCATTGCCAAAAATAATTGCTTCATACTTTTAAGTTGCATATATTTTGCTTACAGAACATCTTTGCAAATAAGAAATGTTGCCCAAAGAGACTTAGAGAGGGAGTTGTTACATCAATGCCTGCTGTTACGTGGAAATCACCGCTCCCTGAGCATTTACTGCCTGAGGTTGGCACTGCCGGACGTTGCACAGTGTACACATGTCCCAGTTCTTACCACGTGCCAGTAAATTTATTACCATATGCCATAGCTGGTATATATCTAGGGATAAATGACAAAATTGGTCTCTCTGAATGTACAGTTACAAATTGGCTAGAGAAGCATGTGAAGAAACAAACCAAAACCAGGAGGCAGAACCAAGGTTTGTTAAAATTTTGTCTAAGTAGTGAATAAAAGATAAGAATTGAAAAATTATCTCCTTTCTAAAAGGAAAGCTCTATATATCCGTGTGTGTATACTGTGGTTGCTGTTGAAAAATGAAGTACCTAGGACCCTAAATATTTCAACCAGAGAAGAATGGATATCTGAAGCATCAGTCTCTTAACTCACATGAAATACCATGACAAACTGGAAAACTTAGGCATTCTGGGATTTTTGCTTACACAAAACACTAAATATTGTTTCATGACATGAAACTTAATTCTGATCATCTGCAACAATATGATTCGAATAAAGAATTATTATATATTTTCTACAGCTATCTATCTAATTCATATAACACAACACAGTAAATATTAGTTAGAAATTCAAAGAATTTGGGGGGGAATTTGGGGGGGTTTTTTTTGGTTTTGTTTGTTTTTTTGTTTTGTTTTTTGTTTTTTTTTTGATTTGGGGGGGAATTTGGTTTTTTTTTGTTTTGTTTTGTTTTGGTTTTTTGTTTTGTTTTTTGTTTGTTTTTTTTTTTTACTCAGACTTGTACTATCTACAGGACAACTGTGAGAAAAACTGACAAGAAATAATTTCTTCATCACAGCTTACCACTACAGACTCTCTGAACTGAAACTGTTGAATGTATTTGCATCAGAGGGGGCATTCTCTTCCTTCTCATTTCCTAATCAACTTCAGCTGTTTATCAAGTTACAGTCACATAGTGCCTGTAGTCTCCAGCTATATCCGTCATACATCACATACTGCGTGTTTCCTTGGAAAGCGTTTTTGGCATGATTCAATCTTGCCCAATACTGATCCTCTATATGAAATATCAAGGAATCCCTATCAACAGAGACACTCACATGCTAGCATATAGTGTGTAATCAACATAAGAATTCATTTAGGCCACTAAAATGCACATTTACTATTTATGTGAGGTAAATTTGATATGATACAATAAGTGAACAATAAGTATGTTATTCTCTTTCTGTTATCTGCTTTTCACACAGACCTTACTACAGGTGAAGAGGTTAAGATTAACAGCATTTTGCAGCTGCTTTCATGTGCTTTTTAATTAAAAAATAGTATTAGTCATTCTGCAGTTAGACTTTTTCAAAGTCTGCTGGTAGAGTATATGAAAAGTTGTTATGCACAAAGCACACCAATAGAGCATAAAATACGTTAGATACCACTGCATTGATATTGAATTTTTAGTAAGTATAATTTTTAAATAACAGTATATTCTTAACAGTTCTGTATGGAGCATTTCTTATTTAACTGACAGTCAAGCCAAGGAAAATAATAAACACGCCATTGCAAAATGTTTACAAAACATGCAAACATTGATTTTCAACACTATTAAGCAAAAAAAAACCCCAAACACCTATTCTGAATCCTTATAAATAAATAGTCATTAATAAAGCTTAGAAATGAGAATATGTGAATATAAATGCAAATATCACCACATCTGCTTTAGAAAGTGTCTTAAAAACCTTTATTTTTACCATATTTTTCCCTGAGTAAGATATATTTTGCACTTACTCTCTTTCTTTCTGTAAGATTTTCTGCATCTCAGCCGAATGCAAATGCAATATGGAAACATGCATTAAATCATTCTCTGTTGTCTTAGCTGTGTTGTCCAAACTTTTTTTAGCTTCCTCCAAATAGATGCTGGGGACTCCATTGGGAAAGGAATCAAGAGGCTTTGGAGTGACTTTTTCATTGTGATTGCTTTGGTCTTTGATTACTTCTACATCCTGAGAAAACAGGAAAAGCATGACACCCAAGAAAAACAGAAATGAAGGGAAAAGTCTAACATAACTTCTGCAGGGCCTAACAAGACTCTTCTAGACATTGACGTCATGTAGGAGAAAAAAAAAAGAATACGTAACATCTTGTACAGTTGCATTGTATATGGATAGACTGTGAAAAGAAGTCATTGCTGTTGGCTCATTGTCATTTTGTAACATCTCACACATTCTGTGATTCCAAGCTTCATATCCAAAATATTTCTAATGTATCTTTACTGAAGAAATAAATTCTAATTACCATTAGTTGGCTATAACTTTGGTGCAGAAAAAATCCTGGAACGAATAAAACCAGGAATGCAATTTATGTATACAAACAATATTTTGAGAAACTCTTCATTAAGAACTCTTAAACATCTAATGTAAATCATGTTGAAGCAGGTGATAGACTTATACAAGTTTTGTATAAGGACCAAAGTTACCTGCATAACATAGCAATTTGGATCCAATTCATAAACTAGAAGTACTAAGACATATGTTTTACATACAAAACATAAGCAAAACTGATAAAAATTTGAATAATAAAAACCTAAAATACTTCTTTATTAGAAAGACTGAACATCTGTTATAAACTATAGTTTCCTTTAGATTTGTTTAAATTTTATCACCTCTGAAGCATTGTGTTTAAAACCTAGTATCATTTTAGCAAATTATCAACAGTCCTATTTCATATCACTCTATTCTTTTGAGTTTTTAAAAGAATGCCTGAAATCTACATCAGAAAATACCAGAAGTAGCTGAAAAGACTGTTTTCAATTGAAATATTAAGCTTCAGTTTTCAAGTACTGCATTATTTTATACTAAAGAGCTAAAATATATTTTGTGTCATTGCCTTCCTACAGCTCATTTGTCTGCCCAAAAATATGAAAGGCGTGCATTTTTTTTTCAAATTTATTCTCACTACAGCACTATGGTGTTTTTTTTTTAGAACTCACAGGAACATAATGTAATTTATTTGCATTACAGAGTGAGTGAATATTCTGAACACAACGCATTCAGGCCTAAGATCCTGATAATTTTCTTTGAACTGAAGTAAAAAATTTCCTACATCCTACAATGTAGGAAAAAATTCCTACATCTATAATGACTGCTATCTGTCAGACAAATAACAAGTATAGTTTTTACATGGTGCTGTCTATGAAGACTATATAATGCATGACAAGGCATAGAATTAAAACTGGTAAAACACGAGCACATAGTTCCATTTTGATGAATACAGTTGGTTCTTTTGTATAGAACTAGGAGCTGGATTAAACCATGCCCATACTTGATTGTTTAATTTTGCTTAAGGATTTAATTGCTCTCCTTGCCAAATAAAAATTTTGCCACTTTGCAGGAGAATTTGTCTCACCTCTTCCATCATTTCAGAACTTGTGTTAAGGGAGAATTCAATTATTTTATTTTAGAAGCCAAGAACCCACATTGTTTTTTTTGATGAAAAAAAAAAAGTACAGAAAACACAGAGAATTCAGATAACAGAGGTAGTCTGCTACCTTAAAACATGAGAGTCAGAACAATAAGTTATTGGATATAACAGTTACTCAAACATTTAGTCAGAGTTAAAGAGTATGATTTTTTTTCACATTTCTCTATATTAGGAATATTAAATAGGTGAAAACAGTAGTTTGACTATTGAATGGATCAGGTAGGATTTTAGTCAAAATCCTTGAAAAATCCCATTTCTAGATACAGATGCATAACCTCCCGTTTCTTCATGAACTAAAAAAATTTCCCATTCTTTACCTTCTTTTTGTCTTTTTCCCCAGGAATCTTGGGTTTTCTCAGTTCTTTCATAGGTTCTTGTTCCAGAAATGTTAACTGATTTAGGTCTTTTTTAATATAAGATAATTCTGAGCAACTGAATTCTGTTTTCCAAGCAGTCACATTTTCAAAGTTTTCCTTCTGACTTACTAAATCTTGATTTATTTTTTTAAGCATACTCAGTTCTTTTACAACACTGTCTAATTTGATTCTCAATTGTCTTGCTTCCTCACGAGCTTTATTTCTTTCTGCTCTAACTTTGCTCCATTTCTCCCTCCAGTTAGCGGTACAATCGGACCACCAGCGCATGGTCTTCTCCATTTGGGCAGCTCTGGCTTTGACTTCTTCCAGTTCCCGAATTCTTACTGCTTCAAAAATTTCCAAATCACTGCTGTAATTTATATGCATATATGGATAAAGAGATGAACAAGGGTAGAAACTTTGAGATGGCAGATTTGAATTACAGAGATGGTCACCTGGTTGGCAACTTCCACTTAACTTGTAAGGTTGTCTTGGTTGGGTCTCAAATACCTGGGTCTCTTCCATTAGTTTCTGAACAGAGCCTAAATTCATGTTTTGATTCATAATCTAATTTCACTCCTAAAAAAGACAAAGACAGACAATAATTTAGCTTCCCTCAATTAAATTATATGAAAAACCTCAAACTGTAAAAAAATAGTTAATCTTGATAATACTGTTGATGTTTTAGAAATGTGCTTCATGAAAAAGAAGTAGCTATTAAAATATATTTTATGTAATACTTTGAGTATAGCATAAACAGACATATCTATTACTTGACTGTGAATTGCTAGCAAAGGAAGTGTTGTTAAACAATCATAGTGTTCTTGAAAATTTTTGAGCCTAGAGAAGCCAGGCAAAAGCTTTCTTCCTTCAAGATAAAGTTAAATTGAATCAATATATATCTTAAATATCTAGTAAGAGGAAAGTATTTGTCTAGAGCCACAATCACAGATTCACTTGCCTTCTTTCCCAAACTGTGGAACTTCTTAATAGGTAAAACTTACCTTATAATTTGCGTCCTAAACAAAGAAAAAAAAATGAAGAAAAAAAATAAAAAAAACAACTGACTTTTGGATTTTCTTTGTTTCATGAAAAAAAAACAAACATATTTATAGGCTTTATTTTGCTGTCCACATTCCAGAAGCTATCCAGGAAGTATATTTTTACATTATTTTTGAAAAGGTAGCACTATCCTACCATATTGTATAGCCTACCTCATGATGATATAACTCTACTAGTAAGTCTTTCTGCATTCCTTTTCATTATTTATCTGCTATTATTCATTCAGCCCAGGGGAAAATTAATGTCTCAGAAATTACTTTCCCACTTATGCCTTCTTGTTTTTTCCTCTTGACCATCTCAGAAAAACCCAAACACCAAACAACGAAAACACTTTCTATACCAGTAGAAGACTAAATTGTTTAAAGTGGAAAAATTGCTACCATATTCCAACATCTACCTGTACAAAAATAATGTTTATGTTACAGCAATTCGTGTTAACATCTGTAGTTGAAACACAGAAGACGGCCAGTGCACTAAACAAAACACTGAAGAGTATATAGTCTTGGCATTATGATTCAGTCATGTTTCATTTCAGCTGAATAAAAGTTTTGCAGTTTTTAGTTCCAGTTTCCCAGCTGTTTTCGACTTTTCAGTGCTTTCCAGGACATTTATTTGCCATTTGTTAGAAGCTTCTGGAGAACTGTTGTAGAAAGTACGGATATGAGACAAGAGAAGGAAAAGGACAGTAAAGGACTCCAATTCCCTTCATTATCACTCTCTGGTGTAGCACCACAAGCACCCACAGGTGTTGAACAGCCACTGTCAAAGCTCGGTCAAGGTCAAGTCTTTTTCTTATTGCCTCACTTACTCCCAGAAATTCTTGGGGGAAAAAAATTAACCCTGTTACCTCATTCCAAATAAGATACATCTCTACCTATTGATTATATAAAGATGAACATGATATAAAAAGATTTCTTCACAGAATGGATTCATAGTGTATAGCTAAGACCTATTTATGATTTCATTTATAAAGCCAAAATGATCCAATTAAAAAGATAAAACAGAGAGCAGCCTGGAAAATAGGACTACTGTCATTATCTCTATTTTAATTGATTTATTTACTCTTAGAATGCAGTATAAGCACTTTAAGCTCCTTTGTTCACCATTTCCTAGAAATAATCAGGATTGTCACTGTTGATGTAAAGTAGTCATGTAGTACACAACAAAGTACTACAGATGTCACCTAATAACACACATCATGCTTGCCCAAAGTTTCAATTTCTCCACAGACTTCTAAATTAAACTTATCCGAGATGAAAAGAACACATTTTTTAACTGGAAGACAGTCAAAGGAGATTTCTTACTATTGAAGAATTACTTGCTCTTAAATCTTGAAGCAAGGTCTTCAGCAAAGAGGATTTCTTAAAAAATATAATTTCTTATCTTGAAAACCAAAAAAACTTCAAACATCAAATTACAAAGTGATAAAAACCTGTAAAATCATTCAAGACCTGATGGCTTTGTAGAATCATCCCTATAATTTTTCTTATTAGTCCTTAAAATGTAATTGAAATAAGTCGAGGCTTGTCGAATAGGTTGACTAAACTGAAGAACATTCTTGTCAGTTTGTAGGATAAAGTCTTAGGGAGAAAATAAAAAATAAAAAAGCTAGAACGGCACCAATTCTTTTGTTCAACAGCTAGAGTAACTTACTGAAGAAAAACTCTGATACCTATGAAGGCAAATTGTATTTATATTGGTGAAAACTATTATTTAACTCATATCTGACCATGAATAGTCTTAAACATCAATGAAGTAGATACAGTAGGTTCATGACTAGAACAACAGACCTTGTCTTTGGTCTCTGCTTTGACAGAAGTCAGTCAAATAGTAAATCATCAATACACGCCTGAATTTCCCTACTTGTAAAAAGAGGATAATTTACTACTTGACGCAGTTATTGAAAAGCATTGCCCAAAGAAGGATGCATTGTTATTGCTAGGTGTGCAAATAATTTTTTATTTTCAAATAGAAGGACAGCACTGAAGGGTCTACATGAAAATCCATAATTCTTGTATTGGAATACAGCTTCAAAATATCTTGGTGGTTCACTATGTAGAAACACATGCAAGCTTTCTTTGGTCAGGTAGTGTGTTTTCACCCTGGTATATGTACAAATAATTAGTAGCTTTCATTGCTTGCTTTTAGACTGTCTCATTCTGTCCCCTTTGAACGCAATATAAACAATTAAATATTATCACTGAAGCACAGAGGAAGTGATGAAGCCAAATTCTCAAAAATAAAAGAATGAAAGAAATAAAATAAAAAAAAGAGCCCATGATTCACTGAAGGCTTTTCAGATCTCTGTTTCATCCATGACATTTTTTCTATGCAACTTATTTTAGAAGTTTTATCACTTCCTAAAAACAATAGAAGTGTACAAAAGTGCAACATGTCTTTGAAATCTTTTAGATTTATTTTCTGTTTAGTGAGCGAGGTACAGTGGTGGCCTCTTAATTCAAATAATACCTTATAATTAAATATTACACTTGACACGAGAGAACATGAGTATATAGAATGTGGGAAGCATGATTCATGACTTTGATTTTATTAATTTATTAATAACCTCAAGAAAAAAATAATCACAATACTGTTTTTACTTTGTTGATTTTCCATTTCATTTTCTAGTGAAACATCAACAAGTCTTCTGGATACAGCCGTGGTTTAACTGAAGTAAAAGGTTGTTTCCCCATTGTCATTAATGAAAGTAAGACTTTCTGCTTTGCAGAAGTGCTGTACTGCACTGCTGCTGAAAAGGCAGCCCCTCCTTTCTCACACGTGCATCTACATGTTCTTGACTACGTAGTTCTTCCTCTAAGTAAAAGCAGTGAAATAATCAGATCAAACAGATGCAACGTTCACAGCTAGGCATTTTTCAGTTTCATCAGAGCCCTCATAGTTCACTAGTGGCTGCCTGAAACCTAGTGTTTCCACAAAACATGGCGTGGAAACACAAGATGGGAGGGAAGAAGGACTGTTCCTTTGACAGCATCACAGAACTGCGTTAAATTTATATAGCTAGTAGAATTACATAATATTTAGGGACCAATAGCCAAGAGTTTGTGAACAAACAAACCAAGAAAAATCTATATATTGTTTACAATATTAGATTTAAAACATGGTATCTGACTTTTGTGAGAATATTGTATGAAATGGAAAGAGGAGAATGTATTTCAGTGATGGCTAGAGCAAATTCACTCTCCTATGGAGAAAAGGCTTGGGCAGGAACACCTTTTTTGGCTAAAGTAAGTTTTTACCTGCAAACTTCCTTTCTTGACAAACGACTATGATGTATCATGCTGATCCATTACGGTAACTGTAACAGTCAGATTAGTCAGCCTCTATGACCATGGGTGATGAAAGCAAATAAACTACCCTTTAAACTGCCGCACATAATTGTACTGGTATTTCCAAACATTTTGTTTATTTTTTAATTATTTTCTAGAAAAATCCTAGCATGTCTAGAATTGGATGTTTTAATGTAATGTTTACATTTTCTGCAGTAATTCCTCATGAACATTTTCACTTAACCAGAAGACTAATAGCTTCCCATGAGTGATAAAACACAAGGCTAATAGCATTAAGGATGGATATTATTATGCAGCTAGTTTAATATCCATGTCTGAACAGTGCAACTGTTATTAAATAGTTGTAGAGAAACTCTGATAAAAATGGCAATAGGAATTCTATTTCAACAGTAAACAATTAAGACTTATACTTGTATCTATTTTAAAAGAAATAGACTAAAATAATCGTCTTGAAAGGAAGCAAATATTTAAAAATAACAAAAACGTGTTATTATTATGAGAGTGCCTGAAATAGAAAGAACCTCACAGTTTTGGTTTTGTTTGTTTGTTTTTTATACTTCACATCAATCCGATCTTTCATGTTCTCAAAAATACTGCACTGACAAAATAATAATTTTTAAAAGTTTAACTGAAGATTGTTGTAATACTGAATCAGTTGATACTGAATCTTTAATCATTTCTGTGGTTACAGTGATACTTTAAAAAAAAAATCTCTTCTCTGGTATATGACTACCTCATAAAAAAATAATTCACTGTAAAACATCGTGAATCTACATTGATCTTTGAAAACTCTCATCTATAGAATATTGCCAATCTGTTCCAGGGGAGAATGAGAATAATTTCTAAGGCATATGTTAAATATAACTAAGAGAAGAAAGCTATGTGTTAATATTATTACAGACACAGACCTTGAAACATCAGAAATTTCACAAGTCTGAAAATTGGGAGAAAAGAATACTGTCTGCAGCTAGTTTTAAAGTGCTAGCTTGAGTTTGCAGCAGCAGACAAGCTAGCACAGCATATGGACTTCAGTGAGCTTAATTACTTAATGAGAGATAATTGAATGGAAAGATAAGATAAATTTAGAGAACTGGATGAAAGTCAGGATTTTTCCACTCAACAATTCAGGGATAAGAAGTAACACAGAATCCCTTTGAGAGTAGTTTTTCTTAGCTGAATAATCTAAAATAAGTA